CGGAAAGATAACAGTAAGTGGCAAATGTTTCATCTTCTGAAGCACGTAAGAGATTTAAAACATCTTTTGATGCTATCTTTAAACAAGAAGCAAAGTTTTGTCTATCTTTCGGAAATAGATCTGATGATACCAAATTATGAACGATTTTCAACTAGATCTTGAAGATGCTGTAATGTGATGTGCTGTGTACCCAACATCAATTGTGCCTTTTTCGATAATAATCTATTTCTTAATTTTGTGGCCAAATGTATGGGATCTTGAAAAAAGAGAAACAATTGTATCGGACGAAGATAAAACCACGACCACGACGAGGTGCTGGTATACCGTTATGAACTATCGGACAAAAACCGGTAAAAGAATTAGTATTAACATCGTAATTAATTTTACTAACAACACCAGTGCAGTCCTCGATGAATATGCAAATTTAGAATTAATTGATTGTAAATATCTATTCAATGCATCAAAACGAAAATCACATTCTTCTATTTTTGAATAAAATTCATTATCATAAGATTCAAGTGCCGATATAGATGGAAAAGTACCAGGCAAATTTATTCTCAAAAATTCATAGGCATTACGACCACCTAATGTGAAAACACACGAAGCAAAACTTCGAACATGCAGATCGTATTGATAATTGTTTTTCGAACGACGCGTGTTCTTATTGATATTATCAATAAATGTGTTTAAAAACAAGTGTGCTTCATCATTCATTGGTATTGAAGTTACTGTTGATATTAGTAACTCACCTGTTAATTGTTGTTGATGTTGTTCCTGTATTTTATTTTTAAACAAACTTATACAATAATCAAGATTTTGTTTGATCCCCGGTCGAATAATATATTCACCAGTTTTCAATTTCAAACATGCACGCGTTTTTAAATTGTTCAGTTCATCGCAATCCAATTGAAATATTAAGAATAAATCTTTTGCTCGTAAGAGTGAATGAATATTGTTTATCCCTTGTACTTTTAATATATCTGCTTCAATGTCACCCGCTAGTTGTTCTGTTAACTGGAAAAATGTTTCGTTGGTAATTGAAAGAAGATCGCATGGTATATCGTCAAAGAGATCAACGTCCATTTCAAGCTTAGTCTGGGAGATATATAAAACAAACGACTACCAAAAAATCAGGCGCATCAATAAATAAGAAAATGGATAAGACTAAACGGGCTTGGTCTGTATCAGAAGCAATAAAATATCGGATCATGCTCACATTGGTTAAAAAGACTCAGTTTTTGCTAGAAAACAATTCTCGAGTACCTTTATGTCACACGAATTTATCCGTCACCGAAGGATTTATTTATGACTTGTACAACACTTATCACGATTATTCTTTTTGCTCAAATTTTCTGTAAATAAGTAAAAAACAAACAGATATTTTAGAGGAGAGAGAAAATCGAGGACACCAGAAAACGTCCTCTTTCTCCTCTAAAAATGTTGGTACCAAAATTAACAATATATCAATTAGAATTAATATGTTTCAAATGATCCTTTGCAAGAAAAAAACACTGTTTTTGAAACGAAAAATCAAAACAATCTCAATATTAACTGACTGTCTTGGGTATCAGTAAAAATCTTCACTACTGGGTCCTTTTTATGTTTTTTCTTTATTTTCGTGGTCTCTTCGATCTTTTTACAGCTGAAGATGGTGGTGAAGGTGTTGACGAACAAGTATGCTCGCGTTTTCGTTTGGCTCTTGTCGTTGTTTTGGTATTATCACTATTAGGCGAAGCTGTTGTTATCGATGGTGGTGATAATGATGGCGTTATATTATTAGATGTATTATCAACAACTTTTTTTTCGTCTCTCATTATCCGTTTGACCATTGAACAATTTGTATCTCCAAGATGTTTATAATAATTAGATAAAATAAACATGGTTTATCATCACGTAAAGGCAAATTTAATGTATCGCCACACTGACATTTAATTCTGGCTTCAAATGTATTTTCCGATAGAGTAACTGTTAAGCGATAGTGCTCGCCCTCTTTAAGTACCATCGAATCAAAAATTTTTCTTGAATGTTTTTCAATATATTCCTTAATAAATGTTATATGATCATTCACTGTTAGACATTTTGATGTCACCATTGTTATCGAAGGTGTTGTCGTCAATGATGTTATTTGACTAATATTATTGTTTCCATTTATCGTTGACGGTGGCAACAGCTCTCGTTGGACTTGTAATCGTTTTTTATATTTATCATTTTTTGTTTTTAACGCACCAGCAAGATCTTCTAAATTCCCTTTTACACCTTGTTTAATAACAAATTCACCATTATTTAGCTTAAAACATGCATTTTGTTTTATTTCGTCGACTTCATTACAATCAAGATCTAATATTGATAATACATTTGGTGTATGTAGCAAACAAAGAACATTGTGTATACCTTGTACTTTTAGTATGTCAGCTTCGACATCACCACAAACTTGTCTAACAAAATTGAAAAATTCGTCATTATTTAATAATAAAACATCATCTTGCAGATTGTATAAATCAAGCACTGTTTTCACTGTGTGATCTGTTGCAACTCGATATTCAAAAGTTTAAAAATGACAAAGGCGAATTTGTCTGTATAGAAAGATCTGTTTTTCACTGTGTCCACACAGTCTTATCGTACTACACTGGACAGAAAAGAAACAAACACAGAACAGGTCTTTTTATCTAAAGCATCTGAAAATTTCACGTGATGTAGTACAAAAATTGAAAACAAAAAACGTTTCATAGAATTAAAAAGCCTTAAACACAGTATCGTAATAGGAGACAGAAAACGAACTAGGATAATCTTCAATACTTTTGCGTGCTTGCAGCGCACTTTACAACAACAATACGCAGCTTAGTTAAAGATGTAACGTATTCGCATGAAGTCTATAGTATTCAGGAGTATTCTCATGGAATTTTAGATATTGCCCGGTATTCGCAAATATTCTCAGTACTCAGAATACCCCGGAATCCGCTTTTTCCTCCTTGAATAACTCACTGATTCGCATATTTCGTTTCACGACTGACCAGAACCTTCTTTTTCCCCGGATCATCGTTAAAACCCAATTCGTCACAATTATAAATTTGCTGGGGTTTGTCGAATAAATTGAGTTTTAATAACACTGAATGAAGTTTGGCGAACCCACCGTTTACGGTCTCTGTTGTGACACCTTGTGCACGTACTTTTTCCAGTTTCATACTGTTCATCAGTTTTAACGTATCCTTCCATCTTTTCACGAAGCCATAATACCAGTCACGGGTTGGTGCTCCGTTTGAAAAACGAGCTGTTAACTTCATCAGTTCCACATATTCAGTAGCTTATTTTAACAAATCTTGACACGTTGTTAATTCACCATAACCTTGCAAAGTGATAATCAATTTGACTAAATGCGCTTCTTGTGGTTGTGTTAAAGATGTTGGACGACCAACCTGAGGTGTGGATTTACGAGATATTCTTGCAGATAATGTTCCTGGTGGAATTTTGAAGGGCCGTTCCGCAGATTGTCTCAATGTCATTTCTTTGTTTTCAATTTTCTCAAGAGCTTTACTTACATCTTCTTCACTGTAAGTCGGTCCTGGTGTCTTACGTATGTAATTTCGAACCATTTTGCAAAACAGATAAATCTAGCAAGACAGATACTTACGAAAACCGATATATGTGTATATATGAGTCATAAACAGTTTTCGAGAAAATCAAGTCCTGATCGAGAAACAGCTCGAAAACGAGATCCCCGTGTGAGAATCAGATAGATCATCTATATTAAAGAACAATATTCATTATATTTCATATATTTTCTCGAGAAAAATGAGCGGTTATTTCTTACCAATTGTATAGGGGAGAATTCTGCATATTATATTGTCAGATAAGGTTGATATAGTCTATGCATCGTTTGGAAGGTTGTCTGGAAGAGAACCCGAGTTTCCTAGCTGTAATACACGAGTGTCTGCAATTGCCCCACACTTCTTGTGTATGCATGCAATAATTGCCCCATTTGGGGCAATTGTAAACATTTTCTACTTTTTTTAAAATTACTGTGTTATTTAGAGCTTAGCTTGATTAGAGACCAGAGACAGGAGATCCTTACCGACCGTAGAGAAAGGTCTCCGCTATCCACCTGTGCAAGAATGACTAATTAATCTCCTTATCTTAAGAAGAAACTTAATTATACTAATGAGTGCTTTTCCCGTGTAAAATACACGAGTGTCTGCAGTTGTCCCATAGAGTACTAGCGATGTATGCAATTACCCCATGTGGGGTAATTGCAGACAGACCGAGAGATACACTCCTAGAAGCCGGTTTTCGAAAATTTTTAGACAGGTTTGTACAGAAAATTTCCTTCTACCTACCTGCAAAAAAGCAACTAAAAATTAATAAAAATAACAAAGTTATGTTGATTACAAGAGACAAGATCGCAAAACTGTCTGTAATTGCCCCATACTACTCTAGTGTAATTCAGATATATTTTACATACAAGATGTATGCCTAATTAATGAATAAGGTATGTTCGTGCAAATATGGAAGAAAAGCTGTATTTGTAGAGAAGCGACCCTATAGATTTTTACATATTCGGAATCAGCGTGACGAGTTACGTTGTATGGTACAAAGATCTCGACGAGATCCCGACAATTTTTGGGCCCGGTGGCTCCGCTATAGGCTTCATGGTATATTACACTATATTCAACAGCATACATCAAATACACTACAATAAATACAATACTTCGTTTACTTTTCTTTTCTTTTAGCTTATTGTCCGTCTGCTTAATATATTTTTCTTCTTTGGTCATGGATTTTATGTGTGTTTTACGTTATTTTTCTTGAAGAGCAAAATAAGAAAAGGAAAAAATTGTATACTTCTGTCAAGATGCTCTGTCATTTCTTCTATGTTCGAAAGAAGCGGTGAATTCTGCCAACTTCTCGAGTTACAATTAAACTAACTAGAGAGGATCCATTTCTACGTTTTATACTAGTTTGATGTACCCAAGTTGTCCTGTATTTTGATGTGTCTTACAGAAAAAGATCCTTTTTAGTTTTAAAGATATGGTATATTGGTGGTTAACGTTTCAAAACTCATACTTTCTTCTTTTACACTCGGGAGTTAGATAAACTCTTTTTGATCAGCATGACTTTCCGACTTTCTCCTGGGTCGTGATAGTTAGATTAATTGTTACCGATTTACTGACCCACATTTGTCTTGTCCTCTTTGTATAGCGCTAACCAGTAATTATCAAGTAAATTTATGAGGAAGTTAAAAGCAATGACTCGATAAAATGTTTCGTAAAATTTGGATGGATCTGTGGACTTTAAAGGTATATAGCATATATTAAAATTAATCTTTATTACCTTAGAATGAGCGTAAATACGACTTTATTCCAATATTTTATCCAGTCTTGAAGAGAAATTTAAGGTTATCTCGATTAAATTTTATTAGCGTCATAAAGAAAGCTACTGGTAATTCTAAAAGATTTTTTTGCTTTAAAATAATTACATAATTTACGAATGTTGTCAAATTTCCGAGTTAGAAAAAAAAAGTTTTGATTTAATCTTATTTTGGTGTTTCATTTCTACTTTATTTCATTTTTTGCATAAAACTAATGTCACTATTTACTGAATAGATAAAGTTCGAACACACATTAGTTCTGATTATCATGGCCCGACAAGAAAGCCGGAAAGTCATAGTTGTCAAAAAGAGTTTTTTTAGCTGTTGAATATAACAGAAGAAAGTATAATTTTTAAACGTTAACCACCAATTTAGTTACCGATGTTGATGCATTCTAAAATCTAGAAACATTGCTTTTCTATCTATCACCTCATCTGTAAAGAAAAAATGACTACACGTTATATGTTTATGCAATTACAAAACAAGGCAGTTATGTATAAAACAGTTCGAAATTACGTTATATCGTACCTACACCGACTTAATGGACGGAATAGGGAAGTAACGACCCACCGATTGAAATATATTTTAAAACACTTCCCTAACCTTCAATCTAATTGATACATTTTGACGGGCTTATACGAAACTAATTAAGAGCTTATCAACAATCTTGTATAATTGTACTCTATCGGACTGTACACGATTCATACTCGGCCAATCTTACACATATAAATCCTCATACACCTATTTACGATGGCAACAGAAAATACATATTTTCTTCTGCTGAAAACATAAAATTTCTTCTCTTCTCACTTTCTTACTTGATGTCATTTTTCTTTTTTTTAAGCTTTTTCCTTCTGTACGCATATATAGATACATACAAAAGATAAGAAAGTAAGAGAAGAATGAATTTTACATTTTCATGGAATTATTCATAAAACAGGACAGCCCTCAGTTTGAAGTTACCCTTAATTACATCAACTTTACAACTTAAAGTACAATTAACTAGAATATACATAACTGTGATTTTTACGTCCATCTGAAGTACACAAGTTAAACTCCACGCACCGATCAACTTTAGTGAATTAAATTCTTCTTTCCAATTAGAGACACATTTTGCTGTACGGTTCCCATTCGGCACAGAGCCTAATTCTAACCAAAACAACCCTCTCCTTAGTAAATGTCTCTGATCCGTCTCCTACGGGAATTTCGGAATAAGTTTTAGATCATTAAATAGCCAAGACCTTCAGCTACAAAAGTCTCAGATTCAGTGAAAATCGATTTAAACCTCACTGAGGTATTAAAGTTACAAGCTAGACAAATCTGGTATCGGTTCCAATTAGACACTTCACTCTATGTGTTTTGATATGTTGATAAAAGAATAATCTCTTGACACATAGCGGTTAATTATCTTTGAAGAAGTAATCAAATAAATTAGAAAAGAAAATGAAGCGTCTGTGTACGTTTAGCTAATAATTATTCCAAAATGAAATGTTGTGTAACAGCGGAATACAGGAATAGTTACGGAATAGAAGAATAGTGACCGATCGGAATATGCTTTGAAACACTACCTAAGATTAAAGCATTTTCTTGCCATGAATCTGACCACACACGGATCGTTGCTATCGATACATAAAACAATACTGATAGAAAAATATTTCGTTATGGAAGAATTTCACCATCATAAGCAACCGCTTGAGTACTTACATCGAGTGCAAAAAGACTTGTATAAATAGATTATAATTTATCATATGGAAACGATTGGCTCTCTATCACACAAACTTTCGGCAGATTTTCCTTTTTGTAGAAATCACTTTCATCTCTTTAGCTCTGCTCGTTTTTCTATTATTTAAGAACTGTACTTTTTTGTCAATAATCTCTCTGTCTCTTCCTGAGCTTTTTACTTTATTTATCTTTCTGTTTTATTTCCACCAAATTTACTTAATATGCACTGGTCAAAAGCTTGAACGGGAAGAAACTTTCGAAGAACAATTGCTAATGTTCTATCAAACTATCGCGGCTCGAAGAGAAAGTCGGAAAGTCAATTGTACCCGAATAAGGAAAATGAAAAATGATAATATCAAAATAAAGGAAAATGTAAGCGGTACCTTTGATCTCTATAGTTGAACTATATTTTCTCATTTCTTGCTTATACTGTGTAGAATTGCCATTTAGGGTGATTTCTCTTGTGCAACTAAGGAACAAAAGAGAACTATACTAACTCCAAGTTCACTCAAAAAGCCAAGAGAAGCCTACTTATACACTCTAAAAAAGCTTTCAATCATCAAGAATTATGCTAGACACTGCGTTCTCTTCGAAAAAATTGCTCCAGTTCAAAAGTGCTGCGTTCAACGAGAATAACTGCCACTCACTTAGCGTCAACTATAAAAGTAATTATCTTTGAAACCATTATATGTGTAAAGATAAAACTTTCAGAAAATGAATAAGTAATAGTCACTATTCATTTCCCAAAATTTCAGCTCGATCCGTCTGGCGCAAAAAAAGTCGATTTTTCAACCTCTCTCATAATGACAGAGAACGCTAAGCGAAAAATCTGCTGTCAAATAGTCGTTCAGATGATTTCCATGATAATGGTTGAATTAGGAATTGTTTCTAACATTTATTCAATTTTTAAAACAACAACGTTAAACATACCATGTTCGGGAAATTTTTATTGTATTTCTTGCAAGATCAATATCTTTACTTTGTTAGCAGCTAAAAATTTATCAAGTTTAACCGTAATTCATTCTATATTGTTTGATGAAAAAGCGCGTAACGTCCGTGAGAGGAAGTCATGTTAGAGCAAGTAGGTGATTAGGCATCTCAGATCATCTGGTTTTAGCAGTAAATTCTGATTTTGGCACTTTTTTCGGCCTCGTGTCTGATTTTCTGATTTTAGAATCTTTGTTTGATATCGAACGAAATTTGATTTATAATTTTTTTTTCTAAAAGAAAATAGAAATGGGTATGAGAAGAAACAACGTTCTGATTTTTAATTTGTTTTTCTGACTTTTGTCTGATTTTCAACTTTTTTTCTGATTTCCGTCTTTTGAATCTGGGATCTCTATAAGTGACCCACTTTTTACAGGTCATATA